AAATGAGTACATCAACCGACTCTGTCTAGCCCGAATGTTATTTGAGAGCAGCAGTGATGACTGGTTGAATGCTGTCAATCTATCTCTATGAGGATTTTGCGATGGTAACGAATTTCCCAGGAACACCTCATTCGAACAACCAATTCCAAAAAACAGGTCTACCTCGCGGACTGCATATCAAGAAATACTACGACCTTTATCCTGTAATATATGTAACTGTGTTCTAGCAACTGAAGGAGAGTAAACAAGTAATCAGTACATTCATGAGCTGAGCAAAAACCAGTCTGCTCTTCTAAAGTCAGGTTCTGACTCGTTTTATACAGTCTGCAGAGCAAGATAGTAAATAATATTTTAAACGTAACTGGTGACAAACTAATACTACGACTGTCGTCCAATGAGTTACGTACAACGTTTTTAGAGATTACCACGACAACATTTTCATCCTACATTAGTGGAACAGTCTGGCACCTGGTTAAATCAGGTCAACCATACCTATAGCTGCTACATTCATGTGGTGTTGGGCTTCCATATATCCATGATCCGGGAAGCTATACTAGCTGGAACTAATGTTGCTGCAGGTACTCCCATACCTGTGATAAGACTAAAATCAGTTACCGGCATGATATAAGTTTTTTTTAACACTATGCTGAAGGTCTGTGGGCAAAGTTGTATTGCCGGGAAATAGGAATTTAACGGCAGTAAAGTGTTTCCCCAGATGACCAGGATATCAGCTATGCTGTTTCCACACTCTGCAAAGGAGCGGTTCGAAAAAGTCGACCTCAAAAATTGTACTTTTCAACTTAGCCTACGGTGGTCCGTATCCGCTAAGCTACTAATACGGAACCAAACCTAAAAGCCAGTTCGGATAGGCCATTCTTTTCATTCTGTGACCACAAACAGAGATGAGAGCCAGAAAAACACCCTGATAGCCTCTTAAAGTGTTATGTACTGCTGCTAAGTGGGTAATTGTAGTTTTCCCCGTCGCCAATTATGTTATGTACTCGTCGAGTAGTTAATAGTCCTGACGCGGAAAGACGGAAATCAGAAGACCACCAGGTTCACGATGATACTTGTATTTTCCAGACAAGGAAAATAAATGTCACACAAGAGTGTGAGTGAAATGGTACATAGCGTACGAAGTTGTGTGAACCAGAATACAGTACAAAAGTATACATGAAAATGGCTAATACACATGAACCAAAAAATAGACAGTCTTAACATGATCGGTTGTAATGTCATGTGACAACAAGGTCATACATTGTTTATTTAGTTAGTGGACAGACAAAAGCATATTGTCAGTTATAATGAAATATCGATCCATATATACATAGCAAAATATAATAGACTGTCACAAACGAATCACACATCATGTGGATATATATCATAAAGCCACAACGCCAACTTCATATTGGAGCATTTGATGTCAAGAACCCTCTGCCAATCGACAACAGACATCATTAACCAGAACTCTGGCATTTTGGACGATGGGTGTATTTTGCGTTTCAGAGACACATATACAAGACCCGGGCGTGGCTGTTCATTTAACCCTACCCGGCCAACAAGGTGAATATGCAAAATTCCCCTTAAATGTGTCACGAGACTCCTCAGCTCATTCGCGAGGACTTGCAGGTATAGGAATAGCATCGAGTGTTAGGGCAAAAACATCACTTCTAGGCTGGATCCCGGTACATAGTCGCATGTGTGCGGTCGATCTGAATGAGTCCGTTAAAAAAAGGAATGACGGCGTTACCCATCGTTTTATTTTCACAGTCTTCGTTTACCCCCCCCAACCGATTGCAGTTCAGATTCTATTTAAGGATGATTTCTACCAAAAATTGTCTAATTTGCTGCAAAAAGCAAAACGCTCAGATATAGCAGGTGACTTCAATGCCCAAATAGGGAAGTTGTGCCAGACTAGGAAATATGTGAGTGGCATATACAGAGTTCCCTCCCAATGGAACGACAACGGTGATCGTCTTCTACAATCCTGTTCAGATAGTCATCTGTTCCTAGTCAGCACTAACTTTAGGCACAAAGAGAGACATTGCCTAACCTGGCGACCTTCATCACCAAATCAACGTTCAACTCAAATAGACCACATGGCGATAGGGTATCGTTGGCGAGGGTCAGTAGGAAATGGCCACTCTTTCTGGAACACGTCCGTAGACTACGATCACGCCCTTTTCCACCCACCTTTGTACTTGTTTACGATTAAACGGACATAAAAGAAAGTGTTGGTAGCGAAGCAGTTACCCCCCCCCCCCCTCGGTCCAACTATATCAAGTAACCAAGTCTCTTTTTAAGGAAGAAATAGCGAAACGAATATCTGAAGTCGACAGCAAGACTCCTCCTGAAGAAGCCTGGTACAGATATAGGTGTAAAGGCTGTTAATAACATAAAACCGAAAGTTAGTAAGAGCCAGTGTATTTCTACTACCTCATCCCAATTGACTGACGCAAGAAGATTGATTGCGGTGAGCTCTGAATATGATGAGGAGCGAAAGTTGCTGGAAAGCAAACTAACAAGAAGTCTTCGCAACGACCGTGGGTAACAAAAGTGAGAGATACGAAGGGCATCGGGGCAGGTAACACCAGACAACTATTTGGACTTATCAGGGAAACAGGTGGCAAAAGGAAATGATAGGTGAAACAATCTCCGAGAAAAATGGCATCATCATTAGCTATCAGCGTAGACGACTGGAACGTTGGAAAGAAAACTTTGAGGAGCACTTTAAAGGCCTGCAGATACGCTCAACTAACCGAGCATCCAACACCCCGCTGCATGGGATATAAACACAGCGCCTAGGCCTCTAAAGTTAGAATACGCAAAAAGTGAAACACTTTCCGCTCAAAAGACTATGTCGGTTTCTACCCGAAAAACAGAAAGACAGCCACCCTGTGACCCAGGACTCAATGAGTGGTGAAAGTCACCTGTTTGATCACGTCTAATTATAGCAGTAAAATTGAACATCTTATGCTTTGGCTACCAAACGACCCAGCAGCCAAGATTTATAGTGGCAAAGTTGTTAACAGAGCATTTATTTGATGAGAATAGTCACACAATGCTAAGCTGGATCCTGGTTGATATTCTCATGTGTAATGGATTTTACAGATTTATTTTGTTTAAATAAGTATTAAAAATGAAGAAAATCGAGACACATACCAATGACTTCTTGTAGTCTCTGTCAATAAATAAAGGTAGACTATTTGGCCCTTAGTTATCAATAAGGGGATCAGTTCTCCTCCTCATAAAGTTGTCATCTGAAATGGTGACAACCAGTAGTGTCTGTCAGGGATGCCCGCTGTCACAATTTCTGTTGAATTTTATCATAGATGTACTGATGGACCTAACTTTAACTGACTTCACCGACTCAGGGATTGGCATTTTACCATTAAGAAAAAATATTCCCCTTGACTTAGAATATGCAGACGAGAGTCCTCCTAGGTGAGCACGCATGCATGCATGCATGCCTAGCCATCGCCGTCCTCGACAGACAGTGTCAGCTGACATACAATCAGGTGGCAAAACAGCAAGCGGTGGTCATACCGAAACATGGTATCAGTCAATGAAATCCACAACAGTTAGTTTAAGCCACGTAGGATGTGTATACTTCTTGGTTGGGGTCCTTGTGGAAACATAAGGGTGGAGACAACTGATGATATGGCTCAAAATCGTTCTCAATGAAAACGCAGATGCATTAATTATTTGTGATTCATAATGTCCAATACAATTCCATTTTTCTTCCATATTACTATTTTTGCCTCATATTCATGTTTATTATCCCTCTTTAATCTCTTCTCTTGCTTTGTGTGCTACATTGAGTGTAACAACTCTAACTGCTGCACGTAGGTGCATAGTTCTATGTTGAAACCAGTTAGTCACTCAACTCATGTCAAGGAGTCCCACTACAGTCGTCTTTCCAAATTATCTGCAAGGTAACGCTGAATGGTACGGCACTTTTGTATGATGGACGCGCTGGCGAAACGTCAATATGACTCCGAACTCTGTCTGCAGAGCCGGTTTGTTCAGTTTCTTATTCTAACTTGATCTTAAACTCTTTTTTACTCGTTTGCTTCTAATTTTAGTAACTAATTCACCGTCATTACACTTACATGTGGCTTTTGTACATTTTACTAGGCTCACATTCACACCTGTCAATTGTACACTCAACTACCTTGCTTCTCATCGAATAAAGATTTTCATTTACGTAAGAATAAAACTTCGGGAGTATGGCAAGGTATAAATCCATCAGAGTAAATTTATTTGATAAAACTGCACAGTGACACAATATTACTTACTGGTGACGTTTAGAGAGCAATTTATTGCTCATTATCATACCAAGGTACTCACTTAACTTTCTAACTTTGTTTATATAATTTGGCTATTTATTAATCCTTTATTTTATGGGTAGTAATATTTTCCGAATCTCTTGTGCCATTTTTATTGGACGTGTGGATTGGATGAACAAAGACTCTGTAATAAACCTCTTTCTCCACCCACCTATATGACCTTTCAGAACTGTAATTCTGTCCTTTCCCAGTGTGTTAACGCATGCGTTGCGACTGCTGGATTTTCCTGGCCAAGTAGCTTATGGAGCTTGAATACCTGGAATTTCTTCCCTAATTTCGCTCTGTTTGGTGGACTGAAAATAACCTACCATGAAGCATATTAATGAATGATTTCGGGTATTGGCTTTGGGTCAGCTAAACTGTTTTTTGAAGTATCCGGCGTTCCAGGAGTCCCTACCTCACAGACAGTCTCGCTGACACCCTGACTCCTGATGTCCGTTGCTCGGGTGATCTGGAACATCGGAATGTTGGAAGAAGTAGCTGCTAACTTCATCTCTCACGCACGATCTGTTTAAATTAACTGACATGGTTAATATATATGATCATTCCAATCCTCGCCCTTTAACTGGATAAAGGCGAGTGTTGTAGTCATTTTAAAATAGACGAGGATCAGGCACGTACCAAACGAACCGAGACTTTCCCGCAGAATATTCCGAATGTTAGCCTTTTTTAGCAACCTTATTTAATAAGATTATACCCTGTGCTCGAATTAGGTAACACTTTTTCTATTAAATGCTTTCTCAAAATCTCGGCCTGAACCTTCACGGGACAGTGAATTTACATTGCATAGTAAAGTGTTTATGGTAATGAAGTCAGGAATGAAAATCGATATCTTATGTCAGATGATAAAAAGAATTAAAGTGCTATATGCATTCAGTGTATTCATTTGCTATCAAACTTTGTGTAAACAATAAATTCTATGGATACTAGATACATCAGTAAAATAAGATGCCGTTTCAGTCTGATAGATCAATGAAATTTCCATCTTTATCGACAGTCTTCAGTATGCCAGATTTTAACAAGACTTTCCATTCTTGTTCAGGATTATAAGTGCTGGAAAGAAGATATTAGAAAAATATATAATTACCTGTAAAAATTCTTGATCGGTGCAACTTCTTTCTTAATGTAGTAGTACAGATATGCCCCCGTTATTGCGGTGGAGATAACAGTGGCAACTCCCATAGCCCGGAAGGTGTTAGCAGGTCTAAAGTTTCTCATTTTAGCCGGATCCATTTTGCTGAAGAATAAAGAAAAGCCAGGAAAAAGGAAAACCTATCATTCACCAGGTTTTTCGACATCATTAGAAGAGAAAATCCTACAGACAGTTCACATAAAAGTGATATGACAGTGAATACAGAGCCTACGAACTCGATTTAAAGACGCTGCAGTCTATGTTTAACATCTAACTGAATTGAATTTTTTGGGTGAGAAGTCGTTTGAGCTCTTTACTACCTGGTTGTAAGTCAAGACCCAAAAATAAAAGTCCTCCACGTAGTTCAAATAGTCAATTAGCATTTAGAGGAGGAAGGTAAAGTAGGTTCAGCGCACACAACAAAATGTACAGTTTCAATTGTCACAAATTATTCTACAATATTGTGTTCACACTAAGACTTCTGAATAAATACTGCGATAACAAGAGGATGAATTACAGGGTTCTATCCCCACACAACTCCAGACTACATGATACCTGCTACTAAAAGTACTCCAGAAAAATCACCATTTGCTTTTGGAAAGAAAGACACTTACAACTCAAGATAAATTTAGTTACATTAGTGCATTGCATTTTATTTCACTAAACAACCCATGTAGATGAATGCACAGATGTTTGGTGGCAAGTGTATCTCTATTATCTGATTTGAGTAGTAAAAACATTTTCTTCAAGAAACAAGCAAACTACTCGTGTAATCTACATAAAAACTTTATAATAATGCAATGTGAGAAACTAGTAGTAATATCAATTGAGGACATATTAATACGTATATTAAAACCAATCTAATTTAAACGCCATTTTTAGTTTTTCAGTCTGCTGACTTGAATACTGGAGATACATGTGATTAAGATTAAAATAATTCACGAATTACATAGTGAATTTCTGGCAATGAGTGAGTAAATTCACCTAGTTTTCTACACAGCACATAATATAGGTTGACCGTGCTAACTGCTTGAAAAAGATTAGAACAACCGAAACACCGGTTGAATCGCAGAAAAGTTTTATTATTATGCGTGCAAATATGAGACTGGTTGAAAAAATATCCTGACAGCACTGTGGCCAGTTTGACTTAATTAAAGTTCCAATAAGCCTACAGGGTAGGATAGAGTTATCCATAAAGCGTACCCGTACATCAGGAATAAAACAATACTAGTTTAGCACACCTACTGAACCAGTCATACTATTTGCCACAGTAACCTTCACAAACTGTCAAGTTAGTAACACAGATTTAAAGGAATGAAGACATGCTATTGACAACAGGTTCCCAACGGAACATAACACAAAACCCATCGAACTCCTTGATTTATTTTCGGCAAGAGTAAATAACAGACACCACAACCAAATGACAGAATCAACCAATCATTCTTCTTCGTAAAAGAAGCCAGGGACAGTATACTGTTTACTCATGGGAATCACTTCACTTGTACGTTCTAGTTCATACATTACAGGACAACAGCTTCCCACTGATGTACGAAATGGCAACACTAAATTTTAAGGATCATTAAGTATCAGCAGGGAATGACCATGAGTGTACAAACTACGTGATAGCAGCCAACTTATGGAATTATATATATATATATATATATTCGTGAAAATGAATTAAAGGGCAGAGAACTGCTATGTACTCATAATAAATCTTTTATTTACTCTCCCTCAAACGTCATGCTTCCCAGTATCATTTGTGTTAATAATAGCCCCTCTCCAGGTTTTAACACAAATGATGTTCAAAAGTGCTTCAAAGTCTCTAAACCCTTCCCAGAGCATAGGTCCAGATTATGTACCTAGTATTATTTTTTTTTTAATGTTTTGATATTCTGTGTCACCCTTTCAATGATCTAATGAACAAATCTTTTTCCGATAATATTGTGCCTGACGTTTGGAAGGACATTAAAGTTGTACCCATTCCTAATTCATATACTAGAGCATGTGTCAAATTTAGACCCATTGCTATTACCTCTCCTTTTTTGAAAACTATGGAGAAATTACTTTTACTTAGTCTTGTACCTTCGCTTAAATCCTTTAATGACCCTAAACAATTTTCCTATAAGCGCAGTAGAAGCACTTTAGATGCAGCTGCCGTCTTATATCATAACATTGCTTCCAGTCTACACAAGGGGGCTAAATTTGTTCGTTGTGCCTTCCTAGACCATACATCCGCTTTTGACTCGGTCCCTAGGGACCTCTTATTAAATAAACTTGCTGCAAGTCAAACAGTCTGTTGTGCTGTTAACTGGTTACATTCCTATTTCTTAGAAAGAAAGCAGTTCACCGTGTATAAAGGGAAGTCTTCCACTTCATTGCCTACTGAAGCTGGTGTCCCTAAAGGCGCTGTCCTTTCTCCTTTTCTTTTTTCTTGCATGACTTGCCTCACTCTGATGAAATAAACTTTGTGAATTATGCTGATGATTTAACGGTCTCAATGGCTGTTAGCTCCCAGCTAGATTGTACTAAAATAAATAGCTTTCTATCAGGAGTCAGCAAATGGTCTTAAACTGTTAATTTCAGCTTAAGATATAAAAGACGGTTAAAAGAAGTCATCGATTCTCATGACAGTTGTAAAATTGACGACAATGATACGGGAATCAAATCAGAAATTAAGTATCTTGGACTTATTCTCTCTTCTGACCTCTCCTGGACTTCCTATGTCTTAGTGATCTCCAGTAAAATATTTCGCCTGACATTTTACATTAAGAAGTTAAGACACTCGGGTATAACTCAACCTTTCCTCTTACAGTTCATAAACTCTTGCATCCTACCTATTCTTCTCTATTGTTCACCCTTATTCTTTCCTGGTTTGCTATGTCACAATTCGTAGAATGCTGAAGACTGTCAGTAGGGTGAGTGGTGTCTCAGTGGACCACATAGTTAACATCGTTGTCGATAGGCACTTGACTTCGTGCAATAAATTTGCTAGAGGGATTTTGTCTGACTTGGAGCAACCACTTTACCCTCAGCTTTCACTTTGCCTCTCCTCAGGTAGAACAAGAAGTAACTTCAGAAAACTGTATGCTCGCACGTCTAAGTATAAAAATTCTATGATACCATACTTGGCATGTATTTTATGTGATGAAAATAGTGTCAGGCGAGAACTAACCTTTTTCATCTAGTAAATAAACAATTTCCCCCATCCATCCTTATATACCTTGAAGTTTTACTTTTATTACTTCTATTATATTTATGGTCCTGTTACTTCGTTGTTTTACTCTCATAATTGCAAACACCAACTTATTTCTATGATTGCTGTAATCTTTGTTTTTCCCCTCACCATATCATGTAAAGAGAACATTATATTCAATATTTTTAAACACGTTAGGATTTCTATACCACATTGACAATACTGTTTGAAACAAGCCCACAGTAATCTTCACTTGTATTATTATTATTACCCAAGCTGCTATCATTATTATTTCCATTTTATATGCTGCATGTTTTTAACACTACCTCTATTGTAAATCTGGAAAATTTTCTGTCATTAGTTTTTCTGTGTGATAATTCCATTCTGTATCACAAGTACTGTGTTTGGAATAAAGTAAATTATTATTATTAGTAGTAGTAGTATCAGAATACCTTTCTATGACATGTCACAATAATACCTCTGTTTGGAATTGGAGCATCAACAGAGAAATGTAACCACATTCTATACATGTAATTATCCAGGTCTTTGACCCCTTATCTTTCCTTAACCTAACCTCAATCTAGCAGGAAGTAACCCGAATGTCGCCTTCGTCAGGTTAACATAACCCTAGCGTGTCCTTAGGCTTAACCTACTCTGAAACTTGCCAGACATACCACTTAATAACTACAGTCCGTTAAGCATACTTTATCCACGATAACTATTATTGGCGAAATTACACCATCAGGTCCCAAGGGTGCGAGCATTCCAATGATCTTGAACGCATGCTGGTCGTTGGGTAACAAGACCTATCATTATTATGGCGACAATATGAATGCTATTCGCCAAATCAGGAGCAAATCTCGTCCAGAACGCGTCTTTAAGTACTTGTGGACAATATGCTAACAGCTCGTTACTGTTGGGATGAGGGTTATAAGTAGAATTAAGATTAGGATAAGGGTAATAAATAGGCTCAAGATTACGGCTGGGGTAACGATCAGGGTTAATTTACTTTGTTGTCCACTTTTTCTAGTAAGCAGTTGTCGACTCTCTAACTGAAAACCGTAATAACTCAACCAGAAGTGTCCTATTTAGTGTGTTTTCAAATATTTTGTAAATAAATATCACTTAATGTGCAAAAATCACCTTCTACGATTGATCAACTCAAGACATCCCTTAAGATATGATAGTTCAACTATGCCTACCATTTACCAGTTCTTACTAACTTGTTCATATATATACCCATTTCAAATCTAATCAGCTGTCTGTTTTACGTTTTCTTTTTCTGTTTTTTAGTCTGTATAACTCCACTAATTGCATCTATTATTATTATTATCTATTTTCTTTTGACGATGATACCAGAGGAATAACTGGTGAAAGGATCAACTCCATTCACAGTAATAAAAGCCTTAAGACCACTCATACCACAAACCACATATAATTAATCCAAGCACTACTCCTTTTGAAGTCAACCAATGCTACGACAGTCGAGTGGCTAGAAAAGCTACGCAGAAGTTCACCGAAGATCAGGGACCTATACGTCACAACCAAGAGGCGAGCACAAAGATATCAAATTGGATTATACTAGCTCGTAATAACGATATTGGAATGTCACTTAATGGTGATTAAACTCAAACTTAGCCCATAGAATATACACAAACAACATCTAACATGCCTCTTATTTGGTTAACACTAATTCGAGTACTGAATGAGAGGTGAGTAGGGGTTATAACCCCTTAAAGACCCTGAATGTAAAATTGTCTCCACAGGGACGAATTCCTATGATTCGTGTGGACAGATCCAATCGAAACCTATTGTAAAGCAACTTTTAATCTTTATTTTGATGCTATCTATACCAAGAATTAGTTTAGCCCAAAAAATTAGAGACCATACACACTATAAGCTCACCTATCAATGCCCGCCCCCAGTGTATACTTTCAAGGTCAAGTACGCATGTGCAATGTACAATGTTTCTTTTCAAATTTATTTTGATACAAATTAGAATTTCATTGGGAGTTTGCTTTTGAAATAGGTGAAGACGAATCTTATTTCGATACGAACCATGCTTCCTACTTTCATTTCAATAAAACTATCTTAAATAAGTAGGTGCATTTCGTTTCTTCTTCCTTTGAATGCCTCTACTGTTTGACCAGTCGGCAGCGAGAATGCACTTGAGACAATAATAATACATCGAGATCTGCATTTGTTAAATTTCTGGCACTCCTGGAACCTACATGAGTGAAGATAGGTGTGAGGCTAACACTGGTCCGTCACAAGCTAGCTAGGCGAAAGCTGAGGTGTGTCATGAGTGTCAGGCAATTTATTATTAGTTTCCAAATACTCATGCTCTCAGATGACGATTGTAAGTAGGTCAATAACAAACATTATCGAGGAATGGACCAGAGAAATCTGCCATATCTCATCGTTTTCAATCGTGGCCGATTATATGTCATGGGAGTTCAGATTCATTTGTGGATACACCATCAAGTGTCATCATTTCGGAGTGTTTGTTGTTCGAAGTTGACACATAACTAGCCACCGTTTATGTAAGAATATATCTGTTTGAAGCTAATGGCGAAAAGTTGGCCAGTAAGGTTTTAAGGAAATAACGCTCACTGGTGTGTACAATGATCTCCGAATTCATTGTGTCAAGTGCTGTAGTGAGAATTCCACCGTTTATATAATTTGTTTTAATGTGTAAATAGACAGTTATTTGAGTTATTTGTTGTGTCTATAAGCACATTCCTTGAATTTGTATTGGAGAAATACCCCTTGGATAAGTTCTAGACCTTTTCCATTGGATGATTTTTAACTTTTATTCTACTCAGACTTAGGGATCGTCTAGCCAAAGTCTGTCCTGTTCAGCTTTCGTAACATCATGCGTTGTTGATGACGAAACAGGTGCACAGTTGACGTAGACTTGTGTTTTGTCACTCCAGTGCTGTTATTGGTTGACCCATCAATGGGAAGCTCATAAAGTTTTTGATATCATGGAAAATTTGTCTCGTTCCGAGAGATTTGCCAAGTGAAATAACAAGCCAATATTCAGAAGACTGAGTGTACTGAAGTTAACTTTACATCTGCCAAAATATGTGCAGAAAAAAAGGAAGAGCTTCCGAAGAGTAGGTATAAAAATTATCCGCTATGAAATTCGCTTTTAGTCCATTCGTAAACCGTCTTAACTGTCTAAACTAGGCTTAATATGTTCAAAGGAAATGAATGATTTTGCCTTATAGGCAGACTGATATTCAGGTAGCAGTGTCTTCAATATATTCACCGTCCATGGGCGACTCACATTTCACGCATTAGCCAGTGTTAACTGCTCCTCACTTTGCAACATTTCTGTCGAGTAAAGGTTGTGACGACAAAATCCCTTGTTTCAAATAACTTCATCAGCAGAAAAAGCTGGTGAAAGGAACTGGGAAATCCTTTGTCTAAATGAGACATGTACATTTCCATCAGTGTTGCAGAATTGAGGTGTGTTCATCAGCCAACTGAGAATGAATCATGAATGCAACATGCGACCGTTTCAATTGACGAAAATGCCTCATTATACCTTTCACTTTGGTGAAGACTAGTGTCTCATGTTGATTGTGAACGCAATAAAACACAAAATATTTCGGGAGATAATTAATGCCACATTTCCTCCATGACATGCCTGGACTTCGAGATATTGATGCTAAATTGGAACCTAATGGTTGCAGTACCCTTAAAACTACTTAAAGACATGTTGATAAAAAACAATCAGATTTCTGCTATCTAATCTTAGGGAACATTCAGAAAAGTGACTTTCCCGATTATCTCTACATCAAACAAAGTAAATGGACTCCAAAGAATTAACCAGAATAAAGACAACATAGAGAAGGATACACGAGTTAAATAGTGATAATTTGAAGGCGACTCATAAGTCAACTAGCCCCTCAACCAGATCGCGTTGTATTCACATGTTTTTATGGTGACGTGATTTCAATAAGTGAAAGTGTTTGCTCACCATTCAGATGGTATTGACCATTTCCTTGTAAGTCACCGACAGGCGCTGGCTTGACCCTGTCAACACTGATGGTGTTTGCTTTAATAGATTGTCCTTCCGTGGGCTGGACTTATTTGTCACGTACTCTAGAAGTTACGCTTGGAATTTTTTTTGCCAATAATTTTTAATAAAATTGTATTATATGTTATCTAGATTGAGGGAAATTCCCACTTTTTGGCTGGTTATGTTGGTGTCCGCCTCATGTGATCTAACTACGACACAATGATAAGTTTTGTTATTGGTAATATTTCGAGCAAAATTACTGCCCGTGTTCACACCACTGTTGGAATTGTTTTATTCACACATTTATGATTTGTATTCACATATATAGTTCATTATTATTATTTTGTTCATTCATGTTTTGTGTGTGCATATGTGTGTTCAGAATTATACTCCACATTCATTCATGTGTTTGTATTTAGAATTATATTCCAAGTTGTTGATAGTTGTACTGAGTCACCCTTGTTACATGTATCCGGTGTGACTTTAATGAATATCGATTCTGTTATGAGTCTTTCTTTCCATTTGTTCATGTTTGTTTTTAGAATACATACATTGTCCCAATCGATATTGTGGTTTTTGTCCCATGCATGTGCAGCTATGGATGAATTTTTTTCAAGATTTTTGTAGGCTTGTGTCCCTGTTGGTTGACCTTTAGTTAGGCGTTTATGTTCATTCACTCTTATTTTGAGTGATCTGGACGTTTGCCCCACATATTTAGTTGGACAGTCAGCACAAGATATTTTATAAATCAAATTGTTTTTATCCATCATTTTTATGGGATCTTTTAGTTGATTTATTTTATTTTTGATTAGATTTGTCGGTTTAAAGGTTGTTCGAATACCGATATTTTTGAGGTTTCTTTGTATTGCCTCTGATGTACCATTTTTATATGGTATTACGACTGTTTTTCTCCATTCTTCCATCTTATTATTCTCCAGTTTTACCCTATTTTTTCTCTTTTTTATATTATCCTTTATAAATTCTTTAGGGTAGTTGTTTTCGAGTAACATTGTGAATAGAACTTTTATTTCTTTACGCTGGTCCTCTGGTGCTGTTGTAAGTCTACGTATTCTATCTGCAAGACCCTGTATTAATCCTCGTTTTACCGAGAGTGGATGAGCTGAGTAATAGTCAAGGAATCTTCCAGAATGTGTGGCTTTTCTATATATCGTTGTTTTTATGCTACCATCTGTCATTCTTTGTAGCTTGCAATCTAACATGGGTAGTTCTCCAATTTCATTCTCTAATTCCATAGTAAATTTTATTGAGTCGACGTGTTTGTTTATGTGTGATAAAAGTTTCTCAGCATCGTTTTTTTTCACTATTACTAGCGTGTCGTCTACATATCTCCACCAACATTTTAGTGATGATCTGAATGGTTTAAGGGCATTCTCCTCCCAATAATCCATGAAAATGTCAGCTATAATTGGTGAGATAGGCGATCCCATGGCTACTCCCTCATTTTGTTGGTATATTTTTCCTTCGAATGTGAAATATGTTGTTGTCAGACAGAATTCTATCCCTTTTATTATTTCTTCTACGGATAACTGTGTTCTGTCTTTCAGGCCATTATCTTCATTTAGTTTCTCTTTCAGTGCAATCATGGCCATTTGAATGGGTATTTTCGTGTAAAGACTGTTTACATCAAAGCTAACTAGTATTTCTTCCTCCTCTATTTTAGTGGTTTTTATTCGCCTCACTAATTCAAATGAATCTACTATTCTAGCTTTTGAGTTGTTTCTTGTCGGTCTTAGTATTGTCGAGAGAAATCTGGATAGCATATACGTTGGTGTGTTTCTGAAGTCTACAATCGGTCTTATTGGATATCCCTCTTTATGCAATTTTATCTTACCATATATCCTAGGTACATTACAGGATTTTGGCATAATTTCAAACCATTTTGACTTACCGATTACTTCTTTCATTTGTCTAACTACCTTTGCTGTTTCTTTCATTGTTTTGTTGATGATCGTTTCAGCTGATTTAGTCATTATGGTATAGGGTCCAGATTGTAGATGTTCATTCATCTTTTGATTATATGTTGTTTTGTTAAGTAATACTGTTGTGTTTCCTTTGTCTGCTTGAGTAATGACAATGGATTTGTCTGCTTTTATGTCTTGAAGTGCTTTTAGTTCCTCTTTCGTTATATTTGGTTTTTCTGCTTTTTGCTTTTTCAATGTAAGTGCACATTGTGCTCGTACCAGTTCAGCTTTTTGCTTGTCATATCCTTCGAGTGCTGTTTCAATTGCAGGTATGATGTCTTCAGGTTTTAATCTTTTGTTGCTGATATTGAAGTTCATCCCTTTCATCAATACACTTTCCTCTGCTTCTGTTAACTTTCTGTCTGACAAGTTTACAATCCAATTGGCTTTAGTTACTTGTCTGTCATTCGGAGTTTTCGCTATCATGAGTTTATTAAATTTTTTGATTTGTTTCTGCTTTGTTTTTTCATAAGTAGTTTCTTTTCGTTTTTGTGCAACTTGTAGTATGCTTTCATACTTTTCTTTTTCGATTACTTCTTTCAATTTTTCTTTTATTTCATTAATATCTTTCCTTATCGTGAATAGCTTTTGTATAATTCCACGTAGGTTTTCTTTGATGCATACTTTTGAGGCATGTGTGAGCGCTGCATTTGCTTTATCAGTAGATATTGGTGATTTTAATTTCATGTATACAGGAATAATTCCATTTTTAAGGCATCTGATGTTGAAAATTCGATGGTTCATAAATCGAGATTCAGCTTGATATAAATGTGTGAGTTTGTTGGCCAGTCTTTTAATGGGAAGACCGTCAGTTGAATTAATATCAGTAAAAAGTTTGAGCATTGTGGATTAGATTAAATAAAGTATAATTATATTTGAATAGTTTACACACAATGATAAGTTTTGTTATTGGTATTACCAATAACAAAACTTATCATTGTGTGTAAACTATTCAAATATAATTATACTTTATTTAATCTAATCCACAATGCTCAAACTTTTTACTGATATTAACTACGACACACTTT